TATCGACCGGAAGTAATGATGACGCACGAAAAGGCGATTCTGCAACGCTATAAATCATGAACTATCATCTCCAATTAATCTCCAGTTCATATCTTAAGCAGTTTTTGCTACTAGATCAAGACAAAATTGCATTTTAAAATCAGGAAATTGTCCATATCTTACGACCGGAAGTGACGGCGTCAGCGAAAAAAATTTCCAATAAGGTTCAGATCAGTACCTATCAGATGTGAAAGTTTCATGAGAATCGGCCCAGTAGTTTACGAGAAATAGCGTGCACAAAATCGGTAAGAAAAATAATAATAATAATAATAATAACTAGAATCTCTTGTTGCTAAAGCAACAAAGAAGGTCTTCCGTGCTCCTCTCTTTATCTGCATGAATGAACTTTTATCTATTTTAAAAAGGCATATAATATTTTAAATGATTCAGGAAAACAAACGGCCGTAGGTGTAACTTACCAAGATTTGATTCTCAACGTTACGTTTGACAATTATAGTCCTAATAACATTTACAAAAATCATTTTCAATTTTTTATCACTTTCTGTGACGACCGGAAGTGACGGAGAACGCACTTTATCCTATATCTGTTGCCCAATCTTCTTGGTGTATTATTCATATAAAAGTTTGGTGTTTTGATCTGTTACAGTTTAAGAGATCTCGTAATGTTATCTTCTCACTTTGAGGACAAGAAATCACGTGACCGGTGGTAAATTTTTGAAGAGATTTTTGATTTTACTATAGACATTTCAGTCTGAATAACATGCCTTAAAATCATTTCAACTGCTCTTTTTATAAAAAAAAAAATATTAATGGTATAGTACATAATTAAATTTATATTGTTTTTCTCTCATAAGCGGAAGTAGTTGTTTTTGTTTCCAGTGGTACTGGCATATTTCATAACTACAAATAAGATGCTATAATGTATTACTAAGAAAGATTCCATAAAAAAAATGAATTTTTTTATTTATTTGTTCACCTTCTGTGACGACCGGAAGCGACTGCTGACAATGTTTACCCAAATGAATTTGCCTACTCATCAAGATCTATCACTCCTATAATAATTTATTTACAAAAAATATTTATGGGAAAGAAAAATACTCATAATAGGTATTTTTCTCTTATAACCGGAAGTTGCCGTTTTTATTTCCGGTGGTAAAGACATGTTTCAAAACTACAAATAAGATGCTATAATGTGATGCAAAAAAGTTTCCATAAAGAAAAGTTGAAGTTTTCGATTTCTTTGATCACTTCCTGTGACGACCGGAAGTGACGGCGGACAATCTTATTCCCACTGGTTTTGTCAACTCATCAAGATCTACCATTTGTAAAAGTTTGATATCTTAATCTCTTACCATTTACGAGATCTAGCTATGATAAATTCTCATTTTGAGGACAGGAAATCACACGACCGGAAGTGAATTTTAAAAAGAATTTGACGTTACTGTAGATATTTGCAGTCTAGATAACAATACATACCCTAAAATCATTACAAATACTTTATCTATAAAAATATTTATTGGAAAGAAAAATACTCAAATTATGTAGTTTTTCTCTTATAACCGGAAGTTGTCGTTTTTGCTTCCGGTGGGACTGACATACTTCAAAACAACAAATAAGATGCAATAATGTGACGCCAAAAAGGGTTCCATAAAGAAAAATTGAAATTTTCGATTTCTTTGATCACTTCCTGTGACGACCGGAAGTGACGGCGGACGATTGTATCCCAAATGAATTTATCTACTCATTTAGATCTACCATTCCCATAAGTTTAGTGTCTTCATCTATTACCGTTTACGAGATCTAGCTATGATAACTTCTCATTTTGAGGACAGGAAATCACGCGACCGGAAGTGAATTTTACAAAGATATTTGACGTTACTGTCGATATTTGCAGTCTAGATAACATACCCAAAAATCATTACAAATACTTTATCTATAAAAAATATTTATGGGAAAGAAAAATACTCGAATTATGCAGTTTTTCTCTTATAACCGGAAGTTGTCGTTTTTGTTTCCGGTTGGACTGATATATTTCGAAACTACAAATAAGATGCTATAATGTGATGCTAAAAAAGTTTCATAAAAGAAAAGTTGAAATTTTCGATTTCTTAGATCACTTCCTGTGACGACCGGAAGTGACGGCGGACAATCTTAACCCAAATGGACATGCCTACTTATTAAGATCTATTACTCATATAAGTTTGGTGTCTCTATCTCTTACCGTTTCTGAGATATGACTTAGACAAAATTATTTTGAAAAAAGCGGAAATCGGACAAATCTGACGACCGGAAGTGAATTTTGAAAAAAAAGAAAAAAACGCCTGGGCGTATTTTAGTTCTCTATCATCCCTGAAAAGTTCATGAAAATCTGTCCAGCCATCTCTGAGAAATCTTGCCGACAAGATTTGGGGAAAAAAATAATAATAATAATAACTAGAACGATCTCGTTGCGAGCAACGAGAGGTCTTCCGTCCCATTCTGAAATAAAATGCAAAAAATCTAGCAGAAAAAGTGATAAAAAAAAATCGGACATTCGGGGGAGCGAACCCGGGTCGCTCGCGTGACAATCCAACGCGTTAACCATTCGGCCATTGAAAACACCGCTTCAAATTTTTAAATGCAAATATCTCGAGATTGGCTTTTTCGATTCTAAAACAAATTACATATAACGCATTCGCAAATGAGTCTCTATTTAAATTATTAAAATCACAAAAAAATATTGAATAACAAAAAAGTTGGAAAATTGCATTTTTTAAATACCCTTCCGGTACAAACCGGAAGTACTGACGACTCACAAAAAGACGATTCTGCAAACCACAAAGTCATGATCTATCATCTCCAATTAGTCTCCAGTTCATATACTCAGCCATTTTCGATAAAAAGGGGCGACAAAATTGCATTTTAAAATCAGGAAATTGGCCATAACTTGGAACTGGAATCGTATTTTCCAAATTTTCCTTCAAAAGTAACAACTTCATATTATAACACATACTCTGTGAAAGTTTTGTTGAAAACCGCTGAATAGTTCTCGAGAAATCGCCTGCACAAAATTTTGTCAAAAAAAAGAATAATAATAAGAATAATAACTAGATACGATCTCGTTGCGAGCAACGAGTGGGTCTTCCGTTCGATTCTTGATGAGATGAGATCAGATTTTGATTGAGATTTTTATTCTAAAATAATGATTTTCCATAATCTGTAAAAAGACATTGAACAATAAAGACTTCTAAAATCGACTTTTGGCCCCTTCACACTACTGGACGAAAAAAGTGCTGAGAATCCCAAATTTTACTGATAATGTCTGATAATTACTGATACGATGCTGTTCTTGCTGATAATTACTGATATTTACTGTTATTATTACTGTTGTTGCTGATAATTTTAGTTGTTGCTGATAAATACTGATAATTACTGTCGTCTTTTACTGTGGAGTCTGATAAATACTGATAAATACTGTTGAGGTACTGTCGCTGCTGAGAATTGCTGATAATTACTGTTGAGGTACTGTCGATGCTGAGATTTACTGATAATTACTGTGGTCATTGTTTTTAACCTGGGAATGGATTTAAATAGCCTGAGAAATGATTATTTGTTTTTTTTTTAAGTATTTTAACAAATTCATTACAGTCAATTACAAAATAAATTATTCTAAATGAAAAAGTCACATTTTATTAATTTGTTTTCAGTTTTCATATATTAATTTCATTATAATAATTTTTGACCATAATGTTAACATAAGCTTTCATAAATGTATATGTTTTTTCTTTAAATTTCTCCTTACACGTAGATGACATTTTCTGAGGAAAATTATTCTGTTGTATTTGCAGTGGTTTATCTTCCCAAGTACTTTTTTAAAAAGTTTAATTTTTGTTCAAAAAAATCTCATCTCATATTTTTTCTCACATGTATGTGTACTGTCATCAAAAGCTTTTTGTAGATTTCTTTAATACTTAAATACAGTCAATGGTTTTAAATATCAATTCATTTTACCGTGTGGAGAACTGAGAATGCATGAGCACATTAAGTTGAAAACACCCCCCCCTTTTCCAATTACTTTTAAATTAAGCTCTCATTTTAACAAGACAGTATTAAATATTTTTCATAAAATCTAGTCTTGAAGCGTACACTTTGTTATTTTATAGAAGAATGTAACAGGGTTAAATGATTAAATTGAAGCATCTTTAATTATTTTTTTTATATATAGATTATGTAGACAGCCCGCTCTAGTTCTCCGATGTCCTCCCTGCGAATTTTATATCGTGTCGCTTTCTAGCTTTCTCTCTCTCTCAATCTCTTTTAAATTATTTGTTAAGGCTTAAGGATTGTACACTACATGACATAAATCTTATGCAGAGTGATTTTCAGTCAATGAAATATACGTCTTTCTTTAGGCTAATTCTTTTTTCATTGTATACAGTTTTAAGTCTATGGCTTCTAATATTATGCGCCACTCCTTAAACATGTTATATGCGGTCAGTCAGTTAAAAAACTAAATAAAATAAATCATAACTTGAATCAACTTTTTCCATAATGCAAACTTTGTGCTTGTTGTTATTTGAACATACATGTCAACCACATGTAAAAGTTCTACTTTCGTTTTAGAATCGGGTCAATTATTAGTACATTCTGACATAGGGATAGGTCAGAGGTCACCGAGCAAACAGGTTGGTTGTTGAAGGGCTCCTAGAAAAAACCTTTAAAATGTGATATTTTATCGACAGAAGTGAGTACTTAGATGTATAGATGTATAGATAAGTCTGTTTGTATGTAGAGACATTAAGGAGAAGTTTTGGAGATTTTTGATAGTTCTTTTTGTGTCATTTGTTAATCTCCTTTCGGAATGCTCCGACATAAACAATGAGAACAGCTCACCAGTGAACATTGTCCATTGTGATAAACACGTAGTTTACACTGCAGTGTATTTATCCCTCATTGAATAGGTGAAGATCATACCTTGTTCCTAGTTCTATGTGTGTTTCGTGTGTAACTTTATGATAAACATGTCAAACACATCAGTGTCTGAAACAACAAAACTGCTTGAGGAAACTCGGGCAATCGTTTATGATCAAGAGCATGAACAACATAACAGGCACCCTGGAGAGAGTGAGATAACCCTATCATCCATACACTCACTTTTAAGTGAAATGAATTCCAAACTTTCTAACATTGAAATTAAGAACAATGCCCTTGACGTTAGACTCACAACTATTGAGAAAAAAATGTGCTCTCTAGATGAAATTCAAGGTACTCTTAACTCAATGAAGTACCACCTCAATAAAGTAGAAGATGAAATGAAAAGCACGAAAAAAGATCTGCAAAATCCAGAATCAAACGTAAACTCCCTGGGAAACTTGTTTGACTCGGTTAAAGAAGAGACAAAATCAAATAAAAACATGATAATCAATGACAGAAAAGATATTGAACATTGTAGACACGCTCAGAAGTCAACAGAATCAGAGCTAAGGGCTGTTAAGGAAATAAATTCTAGTCTCCAAGAATCTGTAACTGACTTGAAGGCACGCTCAATGCGCGACAATCTGGTATTCACAGGAATACGGGAACATGCGTGGGAACACACCGAACAGGTACTGCAAGATTTCCTCCAAAGAAAGTACAGACTGGAATACCCATTAGATTTTGAAAGGGTTCACAGAATGGGCAAGTTCAATGAGTTTAGTGAGTTCCCGAGAAAAATAGTGGCCAAATTTTCATTTTTCAAGGACAAGGACCATATACTATCGAACGCAGCTAGAAGACTCAAGGGAAGTGGAGTGTATGTGAACGAGCAGTTTCCACCGGAGATCGAGGAGAAAAGGAAAAAATTGTACCCTGTGATGAAACAAGCAAAACTGGATCACAAGCGTGCAAAGTTGGTGCGTGACAAACTCTTTATTAACGGGAAGGAATACATTTCGCAGGAAAACGCCCCCATTTTTAGATCCGAGTGGAACAGTGAATCCGCCCCTGATCAGATCAACAGAACACCGAATGACCGCAATTTAAAGAGGGCGCGAGTATCATCAACCCCCGACAAGTAGGAACGCGCAGGAGAACGGACAAACAGTGCTCTTAAATTCTTAACATTGAATGTGTGCGGCAAAAACCGACTTAATTACAGCGAGTTTTCAGAGAACATATTAAAATACGATGTGATCGGATTCACCGAGACCAAAACCGATGACACGGACAGTATCTGTATACCTGGATATGTCATATACGCTAAAAATCGACATAAGTTAAAAAAGACTAGATCTGGTGGAATCTTAGTAGCAATAAGGGACAGCATTGTGAAATATGTACAAATTGTCAAAACTGACTGTAAATATGTTTTATGGTTTAGAATCAACAAAGCTCTTTTTAACACAAGTGAAGATATGTTATTCGGGGTTTGTTATATTCCTCCCGAAGGAAGTAAATACTCCTCTAATGATTGTTTTTTTAGAAATAGAACAAGAATTGATTACTCTAGCAGATGATAATAGAAATGTTTGTTTATTCGGAGATTTTAATGCAAGAACTGGTCACTTACCTGGTTATTTTATTCCCGATAGCTTTTTGTCAAAAGAACATGTATGTGATGATTTAACTCACAATGAAATTGAAGCACGAACAATTATTTTTGAGAAATATTCAATACCTTTACAAAGAATTGTTCAAGACTCAAATGTTAATAATTTCGGTTATAAGTTAGTAGATTTTTGTAAAAACAATGATATATATAGTCAATAGCCGTCTAGGAAACGATAAAAACATTGGTGCTGTCACGTGTAAAAACTGTAGCACGGTTGATTATGTCCTAGCTAGCGTAAATATGTTAGAAGTTTTACAAGATTTTTATATTCACGATTTTTGCAATTTATTTTCAGACGTACATAAACCGTTATCTTTTACAATTTCCAGTCTTGATATACGGTCTGAAAATGTTCGCGTAGGTGAGAATCAGTCAAGTGTGAAACTGTGGTGTCAAGACAAAGCAGATCACTATAGTAGTAAAATCTCGCTGTCAAGCGTAGAGGCTATTGAAAACTTTTTGAATGAATTATCTACCCGTGATGATACGATTAGCGGAGCGGACATTTCTAAGGTAGCAAATGATATAAGTAAGGTTTTTATAAATGCAGCTTAAGAAACATTTGGAATGCAAAAGAAAATAAAACCAGACAGTAAACATAATAAAACATGGTTTAATAAAGATTGTAGAACTGCTAGGAAAAAATATCATTTAGCAAAAAGAATGCACAATAGACAAAAATCAGCAGAAAATAAACTAACTCTTACCTCCACGAGTAGAGAATACAAAAGGACCATGGATAAATGCATACGGAAATATAGAAATGATCTATCAGATAAACTAAAAAACCTACGCTCAACTAACTCGAAAGATTACTGGAAAATTTTAAACGCTTCCAATAAAGAACAAAAATGTGCAGTTAATATTGATGACATGTACAAATTTCTGAAAGATATCAATGAAAATGACCATGAAGAGCAAAATTCATTTCAAGATAATTCAGCACCTGTTGCAAATGAGAATAATGACATAGCAGATAAATCCGATGAGATTTTAAACTCGATAATCAGTGAAGATGAAATAAGACAAGCTGTAAAAAAAATTAAAAATGGAAAATCACCGGGATTTGATGATTTTGAATGAAACATATCTCATCAACATTATTATATTTACGCCAGTTTAAAATTTTTTACTTGATATATGAAAGTGGACTCGTCCCAGAAGAATGGTTAATTGGTTTAATTAAGCCAATATATAAAAACAAAGGCGAACACAAATCACATGATAATTATCGCCCTATTACTCAACGTAAGCTGCCTAGGAAAAGTGTTCACATGTATTCTTAATAATAGGTTAGAAGATTATGCAAATGAAATTGATTTATTGAAAGGAAATCAAGCTGGTTTCAGGAGACATACTAGTATACGCTAGATCATATTTTAACATTACAGTTTCTATCAAACATTTTAATGCAAAGAAAGAAAAAAATATTCTGTGCTTTCGTTAAAAAAAAAAAAGCCTTTGATACTATATGGCGGAATGGTCTTTGGACCAAGTTACAAATTAATGGAATAAAAGGCAAATGTTTTCAATATATTCAAAATATGTATAAAGGTATTAAGTCTATGGTGAAAATGAATGGCATGTCCACAGAATTTTTTCAGTTGCAATGTAGGAGTAAGACAGGGAAAACCTCTCGCCATTTCTATTTTCTATGTATATTAATGATCTTGAAGATTTTTTACTTAACAAGAATGTTGTAGGCTTACAAAGTATTTCAATCGCTATTTAGAACGAATTACGACATGTATTTTAAATTGTTAGTACTTTTTTATAGACACACGTTATTACGGCTGAATCACGACGAATCGTTTACTGACCATGCAATTAACGAATTCCAAATATATTGTTTACAATGGAAGTTGAAAGTGAATGTTAAAAAACAAAGGTCATGGTATTTTCAAAGGGGCCAATGTTAAAAAGAAAATTTTATTACGACAACTTAGTTATTGAAAACGTTGAATTTAAATATCTAGGCGTTGTATTTTCACGCTCTGGTTCCTTTTGTAAAACAAAAAAACACTTATATGAACAAGCTCAAAAAGTGATGTATGGAATTATAAGAAAAATTAGACAATTTAAATTACCAGTCTGACTGTCAATTTGATCTTTTCGATAGAGTTGTAGTGGAAGATCTTACTATATGGCTCTGAAGTGTGGGGATATGAAAATCTTGATATTGTTGAACGTTTGCACTTGAAATTTTTAAAGCATGTATTAAATTGAAGAAGTTCCACGCCATCATACATGGTTATGGTGAAACAGGTCGCTTTGTCTATATATCTCGGTATATTGTAGAATGATTTCATTTTGGTCAAAGCTTTTTTCAGGCCCGCAAACTAAAATTGTAATGTTTTATACAAACATATTTTTAAACTGTACTGTATGGAAAAACAAACCCATGGTTAGATTGTATACATAAATATGTAATATATGTGTTTAAAATGTATAGGTCCGATGGGCCGAGTGCCAATATGAATTATAAATGGATAACTGTACTGTAAAACAAATATTACAAGATCAATTTATTCAAAAGTGGTCTAATGATGTTAAAAAAAATTCTTCAAAAGGACAAACATACAGAAATCTTTTCAAAATTTTGGATTTGAAAATTATATTAATAAGTTATCTCCTAAATTTAGAACAATATTTATGAAATTTCGTACCACAAATCACCATTTACCGATAGAGACTGGAAAGATTTTACCACTCTGCGAAAGAATATGTACACTTTGTAACAACACTCAAATTGCAGATGAATTTCATTGGAGATTTTAGCTTTTTCTAAAGCCTTAGCTGATATGAGAAAGAATTACCTAGGAAACTATTATTCTCATAGACCGAATGTTATTAGTTTATGGAATTATGCAACCTCAAAATGAAAATATGATGAAAAAACTTTTTAATATTTATCCAAAAAATCTATGCTGCTGTCTGTCCTTCTTGATATGTTTCCCCACTCTTTTGTTCCAACCTAAATCTTCTGTCATGTTTTTTTTTATGTTGTATATGTGCCTCTGAACAGACTGTTTATATTGTATATAATGTATATATGTTATTTATGCAAAATACCCCATGTACCAATATATTGGCTTGGTGAATAAACTGAACTTGAACTTGATATCGTTACGGCTTGCGTTTTTGTAAAAATTAGAATTTTGTGCGGTGATTATAATTATTTTTTAATTCCATTTTTCTCCGAGACCTTTGTATAAACGATCAGTACAGACTTGGTGCTTATTTATATGATTTTACTTGATTGTAGCACAAAAAGGAGAAGGTGAAATACTGTTTACAATTTAGTGATAGCCAATAGGGCAAGGTCTGTTCTTTAGTTGCTGTGTTTTAAAAGTCATGCAAGTTATGATATTATACTTATCGAATTTTTTATATGCATGAATAGAATTATTTTAGAGAATCAATTGCAATGAAACATACACATTTCAGAACTGAAGTAATTATAACATTTATTCATGAGTGCGATACACAACGTCATGTGTTCGACATTCAAAACCCATACATTTAAGGGTTTTTTTTTCTCGGATTAAGCGAAGTGGAGTTTCCCTTGTACTCAATCGGAACAATTCATGCTAATATTATTTTTAAAGTGCTTCACTAAACAATCTTTCTCTTTATCTATATATATATTTCTGCACACTTTTTTTATTATTAAAAAGTGAAGTCAATTTTTTGTCTACGTACTTGACCGGTCCCAAACAATCGTTAGCAGAGATTGAGAATTGAAAATACATGCCGTCACCACCTCCCCCGGAATATTCTTTTATCTGATAAGCAAAAAATACTCCCCGGCCTAAATTCCCTTACTTCGCATTCATAGCAACCTACAAATTTTTTTTTATTTAGTTTTCTTATTTACGCATGCCTTTTAGACCTACTGTTATGTATAAAATCACATACATTTTATATGTTTTTGTGGTCTATGTATACTAAAATAAAATGGTAAACAGATTCAAATAAATGATTGATTGATTGATTGAAGAAATATGCGTAAAACTAAAAAATGAAATTAAATACTGAAGAAGATAGCAATCTTCTAGAATTCGAAATAATAATGAAAATAAGTCTGTACAATTAACGTACATGATGTACATGTATATATCTTTTTTTTCATTATAGTACCAAAGTGTTCTATTCTAAATATTTTTTCTATCAATTTTATTCGTCATCAAATTCAATATTAAGGATTTTTTTTTCGTGCTACGATAAACTTTAAGATTGTTCCAAAGTAGCAGTACATGTACAGTGTAGGTAGTTTGTTTATTGATAACACCGGTAGCCGCAGACTGAAGAACAATAGGTAATTAGTGCCCATTGTTACGCTGACCACTACAATTTGCATGGAATATACAAGTTGTACCCCGTTCTACCCCGGGCTGAAGACATGTACACAATACAGCCAAATGACAGGTCGATCACCGATTTCTGATCAATTGAAATCAATTTAAA